GAGAAAAAGCACAGGAAAAAGTATGTATGACTTGATGTGTTATCCTTTCCAGGGATGATTTGTAATTTTAGAAGAGGTTGAGTAAAAAGACAAATATCAACCTAACGGAACTACTCTTCTGATGGTGAAATTGTAGGGACACCCATAAAGCATCTTCTTCTTCTTCTTTTTTTTTTTTTTTTTTTTTTTTTTTTTTTTTTTTTGAGATGGAGTTTGGCTCTGTCGCCCAGGCTGGAGTGCAGTGGCACGATCTTGGCTCACTGCAAGCTCCGCCTCCCGGGTTCATGCCCTTCTCCTGCCTCAGTCTCCTGAGTAGCTGGGACTACAGGCGCCCGCCATCACGCCCGGCTAATTTTTTGTATTTTTAGTAGAGACGGGGTTTCACTGTGTTAGCCAGGATGCTCTCATCTCCTGAGCTTGTGATCTGCCCACCTCGGCCTCCCAAAGTGCTGAGATTACAGGCCTGAGCCACTGCGCCCAGCCCCATAAAGCATCTTCTAAGTGCTCCTTAAACAACTCCATGAAGGCAGCCAAGGATCCCGTCTCCATCTCCATCAGTCACTGGGGCTGTGAGGCACAAAGGGAGGGGATGGCTGCTGGTAGTTCTCCAGTTGCTCATCTCAGTGAATACAGTGCTCTCTCCAGAGAAACAACCAGTATGTGTGGCCGGGAGCAGGCTAGTCAAGGCCAGTGGTGCTGTTCACCAACCCTCCTCCATCCTGCTTCCTGAAAATTCTATCCTCCCTTATCCTGGACTGAAAGTGATGGTGCAGGACAGAGAGGGAGAATTGCTGGAGAAATGCCACTGGGCAGGCAACAGCGGAAGGGGCTGGAGCGTCTCAGCCAGGGTGTCACCTTAGCCAGGGAGGGGCATAGCGAGTTCCCCGAGCACAGAGGGGAGAGGCCAATATGCAGGTGATGTAGCTAGGTCAGCAGAGGGATGGCAGGGATGTCTGGAAGAGTTCTTCCAGTTGCTTCCATTCCCCTTGTGTAAAGGGGAACCAGCCATCATTTGCCGAAAGTGAGGAAGGGAAAGATGTGGAAAGTCTGGGAATGAAAAGGTATGACACTGTTATCCAGGAACTCAGCTTCCAGAGGCTCTCCTGAGACTCTAACGCTTGAGCTGGATGTAGATGGATAAACGGAGTTTGCTAGATTAAGAAAAGGTAGAGCAGGCCGGGCGCGGTGGCTCAAGCCTGTAATCCCAGCACTTTGGGAGGCCGAGACGGGCGGATCACGAGGTCAGGAGATCGAGACCATCCTGGCTAACACGGTGAAACCCCGTCTCTACTAAAAATACAAAAAACTAGCCGGGCGAGGTGGTGGGCGCCTGTAGTCCCAGCCTCCGGGAGGCTGAGGCCGGAGAATGGCGTGAACCCAGGAGGCGGAGCTTGCAGTGAGCTGAGATCCGGCCACGGCACTCCAACCTGGGCGGCAGAGCGAGACTCCGCCTCAAAAAAAAAAAAAAAAAGAAAAGGTAGAGCAATCTGTGCAAAGGGAATAGCATAGCAAGGGGGACAGGGTGACCAGCGGTGTCCTTCACTGAAAAATGAATAGGGGTGGGTCCGGTGCAGTGGCTCACATCTGTAATCCCAGCTACTTGGGAGGCTGAGGCAGGAGAATTGTTTGAACCCGGGAGGTGGAGGTTGCAGTGAGCCGAAATCACACCACCACACTCCAGGTGGGGCAATAGAGCAAGACTCTGTCTCAAAAAAAAAAAAAAAAAAGAAAAAGAAAAAAAAGAAAAGAAAAGAAAAAGAAAAAAAAGAAAAAAGAAATGGTGGAGAAATGAATGGGTTACAAGCACCTGTAGGACATTGGGTCAAAAAGTCCATTAGATGGTTGCACACACAGGACTGGAGCCCAGCAAAGGGTTCTGCTCAGCAAATGTCTATTTGAGGTTCATTAGTAAGCAGATGATTATGGATCAGGATCCAGGGAGAGTTCTCAGAAAGAGGAGAGTGGAGGCCCAGCCACTGAATTATGGAAAATGTGTCCATTTAAGGGAGGAGCAGTAGAAGAGGGAGGAAAGAAGTGAGAAGATTCCAATCGGGAAGACAGGATTCAAAAAGAGACCTGGAGAAAAATGTAGCAAACTAGAATCCAAGAAAAGAGATAATTTCAGGAAGACTGTGGGTATTAAATGCCACAAAAGGCATAGGTAGAAAACAGCCCATCAGATTTGGCACTGTGGAAGTTACCTTCCTATCTGGACCAATCTCTCTGTGATGGTCAGACTGCAAGCCAACTGGTAGGATGTTGAGGGGTGAATTGTGGCAAGAGTCAGGACAGTGAGTGTGGAAGAGCCTTTCCAGAAGGTGGTTTGGATGGAAGGGAGGGAGGAGAGATAGAAACTGGAAAGGAAAGGACTATGGGGCAAGGAATGGCTTGTGGTTAGGTGGAAGCAATTTGAGCCTATTTATATGTGCAAGGGAAACATCCCAGAGAGGGGTGCAGTGGATTAGACCACCACAGCAGATAAGCTGGGGCTATAGCAGTGAGCAAAGTTACATCCCTGCCCTCAAGGAGCTTATAGTCTAGCGTGAAGAGACAGAGAACAAGCAAATAAGCAAATCAATACACAGCATGACGACTGCTGAGGAGAAATGCCAGTGGGCAGGGGAGGGAACAGAAGAGGCTGTGTGCAGTGTGGGGGTGGCAGGAAGAGCCCCCTGCTGCGGTGACCTCTGCCACACAATTTTGTTCCTAACACTTGTCAAACAAACTTGTGTGCAGCCTGGCGTTTTAGTTATGCGGTGTCTCTCTCTCCTACGACACAGGACAGCGGCTTCCACTTTCCCATCTTTGCCTTGTCCGCATCATGGCGTTCTGCAGAGAAGGCTGTCCATGAATCTTTGTAGTAGGAACGCTACAAACCCTTCCTCTTCAGTTAGGACAGGCATTATCCAAACAATCTCCTCCCCATCCCCAGGGAATTCTCGGAAGTGGCACCTAGTAACCTACAGTGACTTAGGCAAATTGTCTGAATGCCTAAAGGGTACAAATTTTTTAGTATTCGCTACACATTTGCAAATCTACGCAGATCTTCTTGTTTTCATTTTAACCTTACAGTTCATTTTGGGAATGGATTTGGGGGAAGAGAGAAAGAAATTAGTCTTTATAACCCTGCCAAACTCTGAATCCTACCTCTTGGTAAGGCATCATTTTAAAAGGTTAGAATAACTTTTATATTCATTATCTCATTTGATTTCCCAACTTTATCTGCAGAAAAACAATAAATGGGGGCTTCCTATTAGTTCACCATATTTTCCTTAGGTAGAAATTCCTTGTATCTGATAGTCTTTAGGGTCCTCTTTGAGACTAAGATCCCCTTTGAAATGAGATGAGGTTGGCCCCCTTTCCCTACCCCAGAGGCCAGCACGCAGCACACACAGGAGAGGACAGGAAACAGAGGGGAGTCGCTCTGATCTCCATATTCTGTTCTTTCCCAGGGAAGATGCTCTGTTTTCAACCAAAACCAAGATCATTCTAAATGTCACTGCTCCACACCCCATCTGGGCTCCTGACAGCAAAGCTGCCTTGTTTCTGAATCAGATGTTGTCACCCACTGAAAAGCCTCCGGCATCCAAGCTTGGCTGGTAGTGGGGTCCTGGCTCGACGGGAGAGACTCAGCTCCCTCAGCGAAGCTGCCCCCCATCGTTTCTTTTGAGAAAGGAAGAGAATGGGGAAGGACCAACAGAGCACCGTTTCATCACTGCCTCTCTGACCTTTTAAAGAGCAAATGGTTAAAATAAATACTATCGGGCTCATTTCTATGGACTTGAACATTTTACAACCTGTAGAATCATGTGACATTGCCATTTTGTGGAACTCCTAGAAGGGACAGAAGGAAATAAACATCGCTATGCAGTCTATAGGCTGAGACGGGCTTCACAGCTAAAACCCAGGACATGTGGTGTCTGGAGGGCAACTCGTGGCAGGCAAGAGGCAGAGCCTGCCCTGGAGTGCTGAATAAAGATGCTGAGGACGTCATGCAAGGATCTGCCATGAGCAAAAATATCAGAGTCCTCCAGGATGTGTCCACATTCTCATTAGCCCTTACACTGAGCCTCCTTCCAGGTATGATGGAAAAAAAAAAAAAAGCCTCAGGAGGCGAGGAGGCAAACAGGTGCAGATACCTGCACTTGGCTGCAGGTGAGAACTCTGGCTATAAATAACCCACCGTTTCATAGGGGAGGAGGATCCCAGTCACCACCAGGAAGTCATAAATTCAACTCCATTCATAAAAATTTATATGCAATCAAAGGATTTCAAAACACAGACTTTCATTTCATCTAGTGTACCCACAGAGGGAAGGGAAGCCATGAGAAACTCCTCTACTGGTGGCCAAATGTTTTTCTTCTTAACCTGAAATGATGCACGAGCACATGGCTGCTTAGATCATAACATCCGCGATGTTTTTCAATAGAGGGGTAATGCCATGAAAAGCTTTCATGCTGCAAGCAAAAAGAAGACCTTCGTAAATTTACATTCAATGTATAAAAACACATAATAACTTCTGTACATGATAGAGCTGTGTGTATGTGTGTGTGTGTGCTTTACGAAACAAAAATTTATATTTTGTCTACCATTGAAGGGAGTGAGGAGAGACTGATGTTTGTTGAGCATCCACAATGTGCCAGGTGCTTTGCAAGCCTCATCTTTTCATTTCATCCTCACAGCAGACCAAGGAGGTATAGACTGTTGCCATGACCATTATATGAGTGAGAAAATGAGGCTCTGAGAGGTTTAACAACTTGCCTGAGGTCACACAGGAAGTGACCCTTGTTCTTCCTGCTACATCAAGCTGCCTCCTCAAGTTCCAACAAACACTTTTGTTACCTTGTCCCGTACATATCTGTAAATCTTCCTGCTAGAGTCATTTTTATGGTTCATGGTAAGATGCTGCCAAAAGAGCTGAAAGAAATAGAAAGAGTCTTTATCAAGTACAGAAATGACAGGTCATTTCCAGAAGATACAGTACAAGAGTTCAATTTCATCATTAATTAGTATCTCATGCATATTGGATGAGATGTCCTTCTGTATCACATTTAGGAGATACTTAAGTTATATTCCAAGCACAAGCTAAAAATGACCTGTGTTCCACCATTGTTATCCACAACTTCCCTCTCAGTTCTTAGACAACAGTCTCAACTGTGACCGTATTACAATTGTCTTCCTGGCGCCGAGGTTGCATTTCATCTTTGAAAGCCCTGGTCAGAACAATTTTTAAGGACTCCTTGAATCGTTTCTTCTTACTGCTTCCCACAAAGAAGTAAATGAAAGGGTTGGCGCTACTGTTGATTGTGGAAAAGAGCAGGGAAATGTGGTGTAGGTTCCCAAAGGTTGACCAATACTCATAGTACAGCAGGTAAAGGAGTCTCATGGGCATGGCGAAGATGAGGAATATAATGATGGTGACCATGATGACGATGTACAGCTTGGAGGAATGGGAAGCCCATGTGTTCTTCCGGATCTTCACGACCAAGATCGTGCTGGACACCAGCATGAGAGGTGTGAAGACCAGGAAGCTCAGGACGGCTATAAAGATGATGACTGCCCGGCAGTCACTTCGAGAGTGACTCTCTTCTTCTCTGTCGATGCACATGACATACTCCATGGTGGTCACCAAGCAAGAAAGAGCCCACAGAAGGGCACAGACCAACGCCGACTGGTACTTGGGGCGATGGCATCGGTACCAGATGGGGTAAAGGACTGACAGGCACCTCTCCACACTAATGGCCGTCAGCAGATAGAGGCCCGTGTTGTAGCCAAACAGAAAAGTCACTGATAATGTGACAATTGTGTAGTAATGGCCAGAAGAAAGCTCGTAATCTAAAGCATAGTCGATAGACAAGATGAAAATACAGAAGAGCAGTGAGATGTCTGCAATAGACAAGTGGGTGATGTAGACAGTGAAGGGATTTCTTCTCATCCGAAAGCACAGGAACCAGAGGAGAATCCCATTCTCAACAAACCCCACTGGGGAGATGCTCATAATGACCCAGTGCACGATGGGGATTTGCCGATGTGCATTCCCAACCGAGGCGTTCCTGCCAGTTGAGATGTTCGTGGGTTCCTCAACAACAGATGATGTCACATTTAACCCATCCATGAGGAGGTCTCAGGCTGGAACTCTTCAGGTAATTATCTGTAAATATGTCCAAAACAAAAACAAACACAAAAATCCATGAAAATTGTTGGATTGGAATAAAAGGGAGAAATTCAGCTATAAATCATAATCTTCATGTTATTAAAAAAAAGCTTAACAGACTGTACAGTTATCTTTTTCCCAATGATAAGATTAGGCCTTTAGGATCTGATAAGAAAGAGAACTTAGACCTGATAAAAGAGAGAACTGATTGAATGACCCTTTTGGATCCCCAGTGATAGCCATTCATTGTATATCACTGTGTGCTTGTGGCTTAGCGCCAAAAAGGAGATGGCCAGGCAAGAGTGGCCGAGTGCCCTGTGCAGGACCCATTTCCAGTTCTGGCCCGAGCTTTCCTAATGGCATTTTGAAAATCATTTCATCTTCTGGGCCTCCATTCATTTTCCTGAGGGACCAGGTTGACTGCATTAAGACTTGATGGCAAAATGCATGTTTGGGCAATGCTGCCATTGTCATTTTTTAATACATGAAGTGCCATAAGCAGGAAGGAGAGGGAGCGCCTGGGACAACTGGACAATACTGTACCAATATTGCTTAAAGTGTGAACAATCAAAAGGCATTTATTTTACACGGCTTCAATATCTGGGACAAAGCTGGGCACCTGCTCAGACTACATAAGCCAGGCAAGCCATGTGTGGAGTAGATGGAGAGCCCTAACAAGACGTATGTACGTCCCCACAGACCACAGGCCAGACGGTGCAGGAAACACCATCGCCAGATGCCAGACAAAGCACTCTCCTGAACCAGGAAAAATGCTCAGCATTTGAGGCTGCAAAGGAAAGATTCTCAGAAACTTTCCCTCACATTTTACCAATTACAAAATGAATATATGCACAGCTCTGCCCTCTTGCTAAAACAAAAATACCCTACCACTGGGAAGGAAAAGGAGGCTGTCAACAGAGATCATTTCCCTTGTTCCAAAACTAACTTGTCCTTGGCTTTTAAAAAGTTTTTCTAGGCTGGACACAGTGGCTTCCTCCTGCAGTCCCAGCACTTTGGAAGGCCAGGGCAGGAGGACTGCTTGAGCCCAGGAGTTTGAGAACCAGCCTGGGCAATGTGGCAAACCCTGTCTCTACAAAAAAATACAAAAATTAGCCAGGCATGGTGGTGCATGCCTGTAGTCCCAGCTGCTTGAGAGGCTGAGGTCGGAGGACTGCTTGAGCGCAGGAGGTTGAGGCTGTAGTGAGCTGTGATCATGTCACTGCACTCCAGCCTGGGCGACAGAGCAGACCCTGTCTCAAAAAAATTTTTTTTTCTAGTTCATGTGCATGCATATGTATGTGTATGTAGTACAACATTGTTCTTTGTTTTCTGAACTTTGTTGGTAGGAAGCTGATCAAAATAATTTTTTTTTTTTTTTTTTTTTTTGAGACAGAGTCTTGCTCTGTCACCAGGCTGGAGTGCTGTGGTGAGATGTCGGCTCACTATAACCTCCACCTCCCGGGTTCAAGCAATTCTCCTGCCTCAGCTTCCCGAGTAGCTAGGACTACAGGTGTGTGCCACAATGCCCAGCTAATTTTTTGTATTTTAGTAGAGACAGGGTTTCACCATGTTGGTGAGGCTGGTCTCGAACTCCCGATCTCAGGTGATCCGCTTGCCTCGGCCTCCCAAAGTGCCAGGATTACAGGCATAAGCCACCATGCTGGCTGATCAAAAGAATATTTTTAATTAGTAGATATCTGTCTTTTCCTCGTGAGCTCACCAGAAGCAGAATAATACATAAATGTGTTATTTTGTGGCACTCGAATGGCTCTGGTGATATTAGACATTTCCAGAATCGAGTCAGCAGAACCCCAGCATGTGCAGGGCCCTGAGCTGTGATCTCAGTACAGCTGGGCCTGGATCCTGGGCCAGCAGGTAGCCTTTGGGTTGGCGAAACAGGTGTTTCCTTCCAGCAATGTGATCCAGGCTCCAAGGAGGCCTCTGCCTCAGTGGGCCCGATCACACCTCTCCCACTGACACTTCCCTCAGCTGTTCTAATGGGATGCAGAAAAATTACTTTCACTGGAGGAGAGCTTCCTTTTACTTCATAATTAGAAGACAGAGACCCCGATAGGAACCCACACAGGACGAGAGCTCACATGCCCTGTCATGGCTAACCAAAGGCCTGCTGTAGAGACCGGGCCTTGTTAGAAGTTTGCAAGTAAGACCACCATGTTCCCCCAATTCTCCCCCCACACATTTATCCCATGCCAGGCACTGTTCTAGGCACTGGGACACAGCAGTAAATAAAACAGACAAAGTGCCGGCCTGCTGGAGTCTATATTCCAGTGGGGAGGCAGTCGGTAAACAAAAAACAATAACAGCAACAACAACCAAACTGACGTCAGTGCATAAACAGTGCTATGGAAAAAAGTAAAGCAGCATTAAAGGAAAGGAGTGGCAGGGACCTGGGGGTTCCATCGTCCATAGAGTGATGGGAAAAGTCTCACTCATGAGGTCACACTTGGGCAAAGACATGAAGGAAGTAGGCGACCGAGGCCTGCAGGTTCTTGGGGGAAAAGTATTCCAGGCAAAGGGAACAGCAAGTTCAAAGTTCCAGAAGCAGGAGGCAGCCAGGAGTGAAGAACCGCAGAAAGGCCAGTGAGACAGGAACGGCCTGGCAAGGAGAATGGTCAGGTGCTGAAGTCAGGGGTCTTTGGCGGCCAGGTCCAAACGGGCTTTGCGGGCTGGGGCTTTTACTCCCAATGAGCCAATAAACCACAGGAGGTTCTTAGAGGAGGAATGTGGTTAACTTGGGGAACTGAGGCGTGAACAGCCTCGGTATGGCCTCTGTGTTCAGGTGACACTCTAGGGGCCACGGCAAGAAGGAGGAGGCCATGTGGGAGGTGAAGGCACTGGCCTAGACACAGGGAGGATGTTAGCATAAACTAGGTTGTGGCAGAGGTAGTAATATCTGGTGGGAGGTCTTTGATTTGATTCACTGACGGAAGAGATATGTGTTGTGGTAGAAAGAGAGAATACGTGTTTAACCATTTGCTGAATGGACAGGTGCAGGTGAAGTGGGTTAGCAGGGCCTATGGAGTTTGAGAGGCCTGTGAGGCAGCCAGGCCATGTCCAGGGGAGGTCAGGAGCCGGGGGGACAGTTGTAGCCTGGGGATATAAATGTGGGTGTTGTATGCAAACAGGGGGAATTTGAAGCCATGAGTGAGATGACAGTATCTGTGAAATACAATTAAAAAGAAGAGGTTCAAGGACTGGGCCTCGAGGCATTTCGAAGTTAGAGGCTGGGGAGATGAGGAGGAAGAAGGAGAGGAAACTGAGGATGACCTGAGAGAGAGGCAGGAGGACAACTGGGGAAGAAGGGCTCCTGGGAGGCCAAGTAAGAATGAGTTGGAGGAGAAGAAAGTGTGATCAACTGGGCTAAATTCTACTGCAAGTTCAAGTGGGCTGAGACCTGGAACTTGATATTGACCATGGGGGTGGAGTCATTGCTGACCTTGGTAGGAGTATTTTCAGTAGACTGGACAAAACGAATGCCTGATGCAAGTGGTTTAGAGAGAACAGGAGGAGAATAGGTGGAGACAGTGAGTGTAGACAACCCTCTTGGGGGCTGTGGGGTTGAGAGGTGATAAACGGATAAGAATTATCCAGTAGAAAGCAAACAATTGAGGAGTCAGGAAGTAGGGGTCTAGAGCTGGGCGGAGTGGCGGCCTTGCCAGAGCATGATTTATACCCGGTGAAGGGGAAGGCTGGGTGTGTGGCTGCAGATACGGTGAGGTGGGTAGACGTGGTTGTGGGAGTGCCCAAGGCGAGAAGTTGTCTTCTGAATGCACAGTATCTCTTTTTCAGCAAAGTAAGAAGCAAGGTCATCAGCTAAGAGTGAGGAGATGTTAAGGGTTTTTTTTGTTTTGTTTTGTTTTGTTTGTTTGTTTTGAGGCAGAGTCTGGCTCTCTTGCCCAGGCTGGAGTGCAGTGGCCGGATCTCAGCTCACTGCAAGCTCCGCCTCCTGGGTTCACACCATTCTCCTGCCTCAGCCTCCCAAGTAGCTGGGAGGTGCCCGCCACCTCGCCCGGCTAGTCTTTTGTATTTTTTAGTAGAGACGGGGTTTCACTGTGTTAGCCAGGATGGTCTCGATCTCATGACCTCGTGATCCGCCCGTCTCGGCCTCCCAAAGTGCTGGGATTACAGGCTTGAGCCACCACGCCCAGCCGATGTTAAGGGTTTAAGAAGAGAGGGCAAGACATGAAATAAATGAGGGAAAGAGAGGGCTAGGGACATACACAAAGTGCAGGATCTCCAGCCAGGCTAACCTAGAGCCCGCCCAGGCTAGTGCTCGGGAACCTGGGAGAGACCACTCAGCCTCACCCGTGCTTCTCTCCAGCTCGGTTCAGTTGTCCAGGTGCCGGTATGGAGAAAAGGGAGACTTGGATTTAACCAGGGCTGAGGTTTACCAGGCGGGTACGACACAGAGTGGGGGCCAAAGGAAGCAAAGCATGTAGAAAGGAAGGCCTACGATAATGGACTCTAGAGCCCAACAGCGTTAGGAGAAAAGTGAGGGCACGAGGGAGGTAACAGACGTGAACAGGAAATAGGAGCTACATATTGGAGGTCCCAGCGGTGTCAAGAAATCATTGAAGTCCCCATACTAAAGGCACTGAAGGGGAAGGAGGAGGTGGGGGTTGGAGAATGTGATGCTTAAAAAGTGAGCTTGGGGCAGTGTAGTTTTGGGGTTATCAGTATTAAGTGCAGAGCATGACCATGGAAAAGAAGGGCTGAGGGAGAGTGGAGGACAAGATCATTTGAGTTGAGAGCAGAACCTGGAGCCTCAGGGCTGGAAGAATTATCCACAGATGCTGAAATTGCTGAGAAATAGTGTTGGAGACCAGGAATATCGTTGGCTGTAATCCAGGTGCTAAAATCATCAAGGAATTTGGGACAGCAGCCCAGGGGTCCGAAGCAACCACAGCAAGGAGGGTGGGAGGCCATTCAGTGGCCAGCATGCACTTCAGAGCCTGGTGTTTTGTTGCTCCTGCTGC